AGGCTTCTTCCCATTGATCCAACTTGCCATACGATGACTAGTAATCGTAATACGCGCACCACGAGACCAAGAGGCATAATTGGAGCCATCCAATTTGTCAGAAGTAATCGGGGTAGAGTAATCACGCGACGGACGTGCCTCCTTCAGTGTAGACACACTAGTACCAACCACAACCTTGGAATCATCACCCATGATAGCAGCGGAAACAAATACAACACAAAGCACAAACACAGCACAGGCACAGGCACAAGAACCCTAAAAGAAATTAGGCACACAGTAGAACACGGGTAGGCACAACACACACAGGTCACCAGAAAGTCGGCTCTGATGCCAAGTCAAACAATATGGTAGAATATTTTCAGATCTTATTTCATTCTCCGAAAGGAGGTATTTATAATACAAGGATACAAACCCTAATAGGGTTGAATTAGGAAATAAGAGGAATTCTAATTACATAATATCTATACAAAAGGAAAAATAAATTAAACCCAAATAGAATAGGATATATCTCGCCAACAAAATTTGTGCAAAAGATGAAGTAAATGATGGTTTCTTTTGTGGCAAGCTCTTCTTCTGTTGACTTTTGGTTATTTCAAAGAAGTAAGGCTAGTGATAGAGTTTGGTGTACCCTCTCATGCTTTTTTGATTTTTCAGGACAGGCCGCCAAGCTCGGCCATTGGGTCGGGCCAGGTTGGGCCAAACATAGGTTTACATGGGTCATACTATTTTTTTCTAAGTCTTTTATAACCTTTTTGTTACAAAGTTTTAGACAACCTTGAAAAAATTAACTTCATTCATTACTTAACTCATATTCTACACCATTGGGCCAACTTTATTGTTATATTTATTATTTATTATATTTATGGGCAAGCAAGGTCGGCCTTAGACGTGCTTAACCAGGCAAGGCCGCAAGTTGACCCAAGGTTTCAAACCCTTGGCTTGGTCTTAACCAATCTTAGAGCAGGTCGAGCCGATTGAGTCTAAACAGCGAGTCGGGTGGAGCATTGGCTCATCAGACTCAGACCGACCCACTTAGGCTCACATACCTCGGACCGAATGTTGATCCCTAGTTCTTATGCTTCATGTCATGACTTTTTTTTAATTAAAATGAAATAAAATTTTATACAACAATGAAACACAACATAAATATAAATTACACATGCATGCCAAGAACAAAAATGAAAAAAAGCACGAAAAAGATTGAAATATTGATGAAATAGCTGCATTCATCTGAGCAACCAGGACCTACAGTATGCATTCACTTGGTTACACAACAGTTGTATCCAATATAGTTTTGAATTAAGTGATTTAATAGATTTATGATCCCTCTTTTCTTGAGTAGTTTTATATCTCGTGTGGCCATGATGAGACTCTTCATGAGGATCAAATACAACATAATGTAATGCGTACTACTAAGGCATTATGGCTCAAAAGAGATCAGGCACCTGAAGACTGAATCCGATGTCAAGTGAATGTCGACTGGTGGATGTACAGTCCTCCATCAGCCCTTTAGGATTAATTTAGAATATAATTAGCACGTCCAGATTATGATTAATTTAGAATATTGGATGTTGATGC